TCAGCCCTATGGGGATGGTTGTGGAGAAACAGGTTTTTTGAGGGCAGATTAGGAATTAGGTTTTGGACGTGGTCAAATTTGTTATTTGATAGATAGCTATTTCTCGAGTTTAGGAAAGAAGTCTAGGTGCGAGGTATAAATTTAGAAGTCCATCAGCATGTCAACTATTTAAAGCCATAGTGTGAATGAATTCACCAAAGGAATGTATGTACCTAGCGAAGGAAAGAAGTTGGAGGGCTGAGTCCTGGGGGCAGTTCTAGAATAAGGGTTCAGAGAAAAGGAACCAGCAAAAGAGACTAAGAAAAGGCAACCACTGAAGAGGAAGAAACTTAGGAGATTATGATGTCCTGGAAACCAAGAGAAGAACATGTTTTCAGGAGGAGGGAATGATCAGATGTGCTAAATGTTATTCATAGTTTCTCTTCTTAGTAGGAAATAAGGTCACATTTTTCAAAGTGTGAGGGAGTGAGGTTAAGATAAGAGATACAACTGAATGAAAACCTTCTGGACATGAAATGCAGGACAGACCTGGGCTCCAGTCCCAGCTTGATAGCTTATCTAGGTAAGGTAACCTCTCAGCGTTGGTGTGTACATTTCAGCAAACATACTGTGCATTGAAGGAGGCCTAGGAAATATTTTAAACAGCCATCCTAAGAAATAGAAGAGTGACCTAAATAGCAATGAGGGAAGAAAACTCAGAAGAGTCAGCTCAGATTTGCGGGGTAATTGTAATGGTGCTAGTCAGTATGTTTGTGTGATTTTTTTTCTTTAGATGTGGAATATGGTAGAGATTAACTTGTCTTAATACTGTGAATTGGAGGGGCATAAGGAAAGAGGGAATGTAGTGAAGGACAATACAGACAAGCAACACACTCTACAGTTCAAGAAAGACTAGGGTCCAAAGTGATCGTATTGTCATTGAAGTCAAAGGAGTTCACGCAGCCCTCAGTACAAGTAATAGTGGAACAGGTGCGTCAAGAACGAAGCATCACATACAGTAGTTGAGAAAGGTGATAGAGTGTTCATAGATGACAGAGAACGATTGCACTTTCATTTTCTTCATCAAGGTGAAAAATCTCCAAAAAAGCGAATAAAAATCAAGGAACAGTGAGAGGATGGTGTGACAATTAGAGAGTGAGAGAAGTCTTAGAAATCGGCACCAGGGCCAATGCTAGAGTTTTCAAAAGTGGAAGTTAGAACCCAAAATTTAGAACTTGCTCAAGTGTAAGTAACATCTCAAAAAACAAAGTATAGGTTGCTGGCATATGGCTTGTTGAGACAGCAAAATTGTAGATAATGGTCACTGGTGGTCATTGTTTCATTAAAAATCCGTGTGCCAGGGTGGCACTTCTCTACCCTCTTCCTCCTGTCCCATTGTCCTCCTCTAGGTCTCATCTGTTGCTCTGGATGTGTCTTGATTCCAACTATCTTCTGCTAGAGTCGGTCACTATGGACTTGTGATCAAGATGGAGAAAATGTGAACAGAGTGAAAATGCCTAGTTAAGTAGATACTGAGCTGTTGAAGACAGGAGGCGATCCTGCCAAGTGCAAGTGAGCCTCAGTGCTGAGCTTAGACACGGGGTCAGCACTGACTTGTCCACCTATAGCTGGAGCAGCTGGACTTCTGTGAACCTACGTTTCCTCATTAAAATGGGAATAATGAAACCTAACTTGCCGAGCTGGGATAGGGATTAAAGGAGGTGACACCTTGATGTCCTTGATAATGGATAGAGATGTGACGTCTCCTACTCCTCACCACCCTCAAAAAACTTAAATACCGCAAAACAGCGAGGGCGCCAAATGAAGGGGGAATGTTGGACCATGTGTAGTAGAGGGCGAGTGATAGATTGGAGAGAATTGGGAAAACAAACATGAAGGGGTGCTGTTCTTCTACCTTTTGTCCACAAGAAATAAAATCCTATTCCTCCTAAAGCTGCTTTCTGTGCGAGAAATTAGATGTTAAAATTCGTTATTTAGTATTTAGCATGGTTGAATATATGTGAATCTATTTCAAATGCTTTTTCATGAAAAAATTATATATCCAAGCATTTCTAGAACTGTTCTTTTATAATTGTGATAAACGAATGGATTTTTTTTTTTAAAGCATCACATTGTTTTAGCCACAAGTTTTATCACTGCTATTTTTAACTTTTTGTTTTGACATGTTGCTTTTAGCTGTAATTAAAAATTATTGGCATCTGTGTTTACTTTTTAGCTTGTGCATACCTTATCTTCGTAGCAGAAACTAATTAGTGTGTGAAATACAGTACCATTAAATATGCATTAATGGGAAAAATTCTAATCTGATCAGATGTAAAATATGGTAGAAAGTAAATTTTAATATATGAAAGATATGTACATGGCATTAATTCCAGTTCCATTCTTATAACAAAGAAATACTGTTTTAGCTTTTGTCTCCATGCATCTTTACTTGGCTCTTTTGATGTGGTTAGACAGATTACAGAATTTAGAAAAGAAAGTCTTCTCTCCTGAAACTTACTAAAGAATTTAGAAAAAAACTATTATATATAATGGGCCTGTTTTAACAAAATAAAATGAAATACCCCACAGAATATTTTCTAAAGCTCCAGAATACCTTTTCTGGCTACAAATGGATTTATACTTTCTTTAGTCTTTTTTCCTTATTAACTGACTGAAATCACTTACCATCCTACACCATAACAGGTAAATGTTGTCTCTTCTGTGAATCCTTCTGACTGCCTACCAAGAGATATTTCTTTCGATTCACCCTCATGTTGGAGATGTAATTTTTAGATTATTACTGTTAATTTTATATCTCAAAAATATTTTAAAACTGTCCCTTTTTTCCTGTTTCTCTTGGAGTTGCCACCATAATAGTTCAGGCCATCCTCGTTGCTCTCGTGGAGTGCTGTAATAGTCCTCTAATTGATCTCTCCTGTTTTTGCTGTCTTTCTCTGAAGAAAATTAAGTAAACTTTTAAAAACATAAATCAAATTTTGTCACTCCCCTCCCCCACCCCCTCCAGCCCCCACACAATTGCGTTACCCGGTTTACACATTTTCCAACAGCAGTGGTTTCCTCCACTCTCCCAGTTGCAGTAGCGGATAACTCCTATGTTTTCCTTAGTAGCACTTATGAGAGTTGGTGACTTTAATTATTAATTACTTGGTAGTAATTTTATATTTACTTCTCTGCTCCTCTAGCCTATGAACTTCACGAGTGGAGGGATCTTATCTGTTTTATTAAACCATTTTATACCTGCACAGCCCGTAGCATTTATTAAGTGCTCATCAGCTATTTTGGTTTTTCAATGAATGGATTTGGTTTTGTGTATCACAGAATAGCCACTTGTATAACGCTGAGTTGTGTGTTTCATACTCATTATATGATGCTCATGAACTGCAGTATCTCCTTTTCTGCATTTTTCCCATCAACACTGATTTTTCCATTAACATCTGACTAACTAGAATGAACACTGCATGAGAACAGAGATTTTTGTCTGTTTTGTTCAATGCCCTATCTCCAGTGTACAGACAATACCCAGAACATATTTACTGCCTATTTGTTGAAGGAATGAGTGGATGAATGAATGATTGAATAAATGGACTCCCACATACCTGACATCTTGGAATTCATTGCTGTGATAAACAGTTCAGTTCAACATTTATTAAGTATCTGCTGTATGCTCACCATTATGGCAGGCACTGTAGGTATAGAAATCAATAAGTTCTGGTGTCATTTCTGGTTCTGGTTTATTTTGCATTAAAATGTTTGCCATTCTAATTAATTTAAGAATTATAGTATGATATGACAGTGGCTTTCAATTTGAGCACTTAAGCAAGCCTGGCTCCTATAAACAGATAAGGCTGGGTGGTTTCATGCTTATGATTTGCTTCATTGGTTTTAAATACTGTAATGTTAATTACACTTCACTTTCTGTTCAGACATATACTTGGTCTCACTCTCCTGGAATGGCTTTGAGATCCTCTGTTCTTTGATCAATCTATTTCTCATTTAAGGTTGAAGTAAGGGCTGCTTATATAAAAATAATAACTATAATACAGTGTCCTGATGTTTTACTCTTTATGTCTTGCTTACTATTAATCTAGTTTTGACATGTTAGGAAATTGATCCAGCAAAGGATTTGTTTTAGAATTTTGCCAGAGCAAAGAACAGAGGTGCTGTGTTGGTTTCAGCAGTTATCTTCCTTTCCTTTCTTCTTTAAGATGGTGTCACTTTTGAAATATGAATTTTTTTTAGTTCTCCATATGTTGAAGAAAATCTCTCCTAGTTTACTTTCGATATGTAGATGAAATTTACGTACAGTTGGGAAATACATTCTTAGTATATTTTTGGTTTAAAATACCATCCGCATTTTAAAACTGTCACCTGGGTTTTTTTTTTTTAAAGAAGCACATTAAAAAGCCTCAAGCAAAAAGACATACTTTTATAACCCCACAGAATATTTTCTAAAGCTCCAGAATACCTTTTCTGGCTACAAATGGATTTATACTTTCTTTAGTCTTTTTTCCTTATTAACTGACTGAAATCACTTACCATCCTACACCATAACAGGTAAATGTTGTCTCTTCTGTGAATCCTTCTGACTGCCTACCAAGAGATATTTCTTTCGATTCACCCTCATGTTGGAGATGTAATTTTTAGATTATTACTGTTAATTTTATATCTCAAAAATATTTTAAAACTGTCCCTTTTTTCCTGTTTCTCTTGGAGTTGCCACCATAATAGTTCAGGCCATCCTCGTTGCTCTCGTGGAGTGCTGTAATAGTCCTCTAATTGATCTCTCCTGTTTTTGCTGTCTTTCTCTGAAGAAAATTAAGTAAACTTTTAAGTTTTTTTTCCTTTTTGGTGGAGAAGCTAAGCCGTAAGGAAGCATGCCACTGTGTTAAATCCTTTTCTATCTCGGGGTTTACCCTCTTATTTTAGAGAAATAGTGAAATTTTTATATTATCAGTCCTTAGAACATACATTAAAGGATTTGCCTTTGTCTTTTGTAGGATGAAGTGGCGCACACTCTAACTGAAAGCAGAGTATTAAAGAACACTAGACATCCCTTTTTAACAGTAAGTGACTGAAGGACAGATGTTATAATCGTAACATTCTAAATTTAAAGAAATTTTGTTATAGAAACTAAACTATGAAAAATAACATTTTAAATAACATTCATTTAGGTATACCATTTTCTTTTTGGAAAAACTAGAAGTCAAATTTCTTTGAAATTATTGGAATGTATGGGTTAAGTTTACAGCATGTATGCATTTATAATCCCTCTCATTATTCACCCTTTTTTTTTCGAGAGTATCTCTCTTTTTTTTTGCTCCCATGAAACATTAAACTGATTTTTTAGTTCTGGTCTTAGATTCCTTGTAATAGAGGGATAATTTGCAAAGTTTCTATATGTGTCCCGATTTCAGTGAAATATATTAAGATTAAAAATAACAGCTAGACTTCAAAAGTAGAACCTTTTAAAACTTTTGGATTATCTAGAGTAGACATTTTCTTTTTTTTTTTTTTGTCTTTTTTCCGTGTCCGGCAACGGATCGCAACCCTCAGTGTTGCCCCCGTACCGGACCGGGGACCGGCAACGGGATCACAAGCCTCGGTGTTGCTCCCGCGCCTCGCTCAGCCAGTGAGC